CGGCCGCCCCGCCCCAGAGGTGGCTGCGTCTCAGGGCCAGGCGAGGGGTCTCTGTGTCACCGGCCGCCCCGCCCCAGAGGTGGGCGCATCTCAGCGCCGGGCGAGGGGTCCCTGGGTAACCGGCCGCCCCGCCCCAGAGGTGGCTGCGTCTCAGGGCCAGGCGAGGGGTCTCTGTGTCACCGGCCGCCCCGCCCCAGAGGTGGGCGCATCTCAGCGCCGGGTGAGGGGTCCCTGGGTAACCGGCCGCCCCGCCCCAGAGGTGGGCGCATGCCAGGCTTACTCCTGCTCTGCTCCCCCCAGGTTTTCTTCGCCTCCGTCCGCTCCGGGGGCAGCAGCCAGGTTTACTTCATGACACTCAACAGAAACTGTATCATGAACTGGTAAGGCCCCGCCCCCAGCGCTGGCCCCGCCTCTGGAGGGAAGGGGCGGGGCCCCCTCAGACACTGGATCCCTCTGCCAGAGACTCCGCCCCCACAGCCAGCAAGGATCAGGACCGACCAATCAGCAGAACCGATGCCTTGACCGCCTTCTCCCCGACCCGTGTTTGATGCTGCTTGGGGGGGGGCTCTCCATGGTGACAGTGTGTCCCCCCCTCTGACTGACTGACTGCTCCCCGCTTCGCTCGCCCCTCCCCTGACTCCGTGGGGACCTGCTCTGTTCATCGCCTGAGCGCCGGGCGAGGGGTCCCCATGTCTCCAGCCGCCCCGCTCCAGAGGTGGCTGCATCTCAGCGCCGGGCGAGGGGTCCCCGTGTCACCAGCCGCCCCGCCCCAGAGGTGGGCGCATCTCAGCGCCGGGCGAGGGGTCCCCGTGTCTCCAGCCGCCCCGCCCCAGAGGTGGGCACATCTCAGCGCCGGGCGAGGGGTCCCCGTGTCACCAGCCGCCCCGCCCCAGAGGTGGGCGCACCTCAGCACTGGGCGAGGGGTCCCAGGCACGTGTGGGGTGACAGGCAAACACGAGGAGGGAGGTGGCCGGAGGCCGAGGCGGGGGGACCCAGTGCTGTCGCTGTGGGGCGCTGCACTGACCAGGGCCCCTGTCGGGGGCACTCAGAACGGCCATGGGGCGCAGACCCATCGCTTTGTGCCAATTTCGCTTTGCTTAAAGGTGGGGGCGTGGGGCGGGGCCAGGGCCTTTCATCCACCTGGGTAGGAGCCGCAGTGGTGGTGGGGAACCCCCAAAGCAGCCCCCCGACTGCCTTGTGTGCCCCCAGAACTCCTCCCCCTGGGCCGGGCAAACGGGGGCGAATGTACAGGGGGGACACGGGGGGGGCCTGGTCCCTTCTGGCTCTGTGTATATTTTGCTTTAATTATTTTTATTTTGTAACAATGATTCATTAACAAAGCACTTTAAAGCCCTGACTGCGTCTCATGGGGGGCTGGGAACGCCCCCCAGGGGCGGATTTGGGGTGATTCTCGAACTGACCCAGGAGAGTTGGTCCTAGGGTGGGGACTGGCTGGCTCGGGGGCAAGGAATGGGGCAGGGACCTGTCCCCTCTAGGGGGCACCGGCTCCCACCCGGCCCCATGGGAGCCTGGCTGCAGCAGCAGTGCAAGGGTTAAACAATGGAGGGGCGGGGCACGGAGCCAGCTGATTCCCCTCCCTGCCCCCCTGACGCTGCCTGGGGGCCCCCCCGAGAGCCATATGGAGTGTGCGGGGGGAGGGGTTATGGAGTTCATGGGACCCCCCCCAGTATCCAGTTTCCTCTGTACGTTGCTTGCATCTATCAAACCCCAGACTCCCCCTCCCGCGCCGTGGCCTTGAAATTTCATCTGTTAATAAAAAACCAAATTCTATGACTTTCCCTGCCTGGTCCGGCGTTCTTTACCCCCTGGGGGCGGGCAGGGGGCAGCCAGGGGCGGGCACCGAACAGCAAGAAGCCGGTGTCCCTGGGAGGAGTTGGCGGCACCCTGCTGAGCTCGGGCAGCTGGGGCACGGGCCGGGGCGGGGGTGACAGACAGGGCACACTGAGGAAGTGGAGTTCCTGGGGCCTGTCCACACTATCCCGTCAGGACCCAAAGTGAACTCTCGTCCTCATCCTGAGGGTCCTTATCACCCCCGTGCCTCCTACCTGTAGTAACCTCCAGACCAGTCCCCCGGAGACTCGGGCCGGTGCCGTAGAGAGTTTCGGCAGAACGGTGTTGGTGAGAAGTGGGGATTGTTTAAGAAAATCCCCCAAAGCCCCCAGGAAAGAGGTTAAGAAGCCAGTCTGGCATTCAGGGGAAGTGACAGCAGTGTTGAATGTATGAGCACCGGAAGCAGGGGGAAGTTGTGACACGTGTAAACCAGAACTGTAGGGCACTGATGAGGAAAGCTAAAGGCCAGAGGGAGAACTGGGCAGCTGGCGCATTGTCATTGTATCGGGGACAAACCGAAGCCTGACAAGGGGTTAACACACATTTCAAGGGAGCGTTGGAGGTGAAGTGGCCGGTTAACACCCCTCCAGTTATGGGGGGGATGCTGCTGTCCGAAGCCGTCAATCCGGCATGTCAGTCCCTGGTGTTTGGTGTCTGGCGGAGTGACGAGTTTCAGCTCCCGGCTCGTCTCTGGGCGGCGGGGGGCAGGTTTGCTTTGCGGACCAGGCCCGAGAGCTCAGACAGGAGGCGATCGCTTTGGGAGAAGGGTTCGCCCACTGGTGACCGGGCGGTTTTTGTCTTTGATCATTTTCCTGCGTGAGTTCAACCCTGGGGGCGCTGGCCTGGTTCCTCCCCACATAATGGCTGGTGAGGTATTCGGTGCCCTGGAGGCGGTACCCCAGGCGGGCGTGGGACCCCTGGATCTGGAAATGAAGGGGGGGGGTTGTGCCCCTTGTTCCGGCAGGGGCTGGCGCCCCTTGGAGTTGGTGGGTCCTGGTCTGCGGGGCACTGGCGCCCAATGATGAGTCTGGAGAGGTTCGGGGGGGGGGGTTAAAGGCCAGAAGAGGGGGGTTGAGAGAGATTTATTTCCAGGACGTGGCCCCCATCAAGTCTGGGTTCTGTTGAATGATACAGCGACCCTAAGAACTTCCCAGTGCCCTCCAGCCCCCATGGCCACTTCGCCTCGAATGGTCCCTCAGTGTGTGTTTAGCTGTGCGGCTGAGTCCCTCTCCCAGCCTGCAGAAAGGCTCTGGGGGGCACAAAAGCTCGCCCCTCCCACCCATAACACACATTCCCTCCCTCGTCTCGCTAACGAGAGTTTCAAAAGAGCTGGCCGGGGAGCTCGCTGAGCCGGTCCTGTGGATCGTCGGCGACTCCCAGCACTGGGCAAGTTCCCAGTGACGGGACGAAACCCACCGATGTGCTGGTGTTTGAAACGGGCCAACAGGCCGAGCCGAGTATTTCGAGCCCCATCAGCCCGACCTCGATTGAGGGCAAGAGACTGGAGCGGCTTGGCGCAGCACTCGAGTCATACAGATGGTAATGTAATGAATGCACATGGGTGTGGGGTCACGGCACAGAACCGGGCGAGCCGGCCTGAGCTCTGTTTCTGATGCGCACCCAAGCGGGGTCGCTAGAGGTGACCGTGGTGACGGATTAGACATGGACTCCCATGGTACTGCGGGGCGTTTTGATTAAAACACTCCCCCGATAGAAAAGTAACACGGCCCGTATTGACCGAACGAAAGGCTGGTGACCGATAGGTCTCAAAGGTACCTGGAAATGCGGCATCGTCAGCGAGCGGCTTGCCTTCGGCCGGGCTCGGGTCTGGGAACGGTGCTACATAACAGCTTTCCCGGTGATCTGCAAGAACACACAAAATCACCCCGATAAAGTTTGCAGATGACCCAAAAATTGGGAGAGTGGGAACGAAGGAAAGGCCGGGTCCCCAGTTCAGAGCGATGTGGATCACAACCCAATACTGTGGTTTGAATGCGGCTAAATGCCACCGTACACAACACGGAACGAGGCGCGTCAGCCGTACACGGGCCGGGGAGTCTCTCCTGGGGAGCAGCGACTCTGAAGCAGATTTGGGGGGCGGGGAGGGTAATCAGCGGAACGTGAGCTCCCGGGGCGACGCTGTGACCAGAAGGGCGAACGCCATCCCGGGCTGCGTAAGCGGGAATCTCACGTAGGGGCAGAGAGGCGATTTCACTGCTGGATCGGGCCCAGACGCTGCCCACAGTTCCGGCCAGAGGGTGATTCCATCGGAGAGGGGTCAGAGAGGAGCCAGGAGAAGGATTAAAAACCCTGCCTGCGAGTGAGAGACTCCAGGAGCTCAGTTAGCGTAACGAAGAGGCGGCGAAGGGGTGACGGATCCCGGTCTGTAAGTACCGACGCGGGGAGCGAATGTTTCACTAGCAGAGGCAGGTCAAACCCGGTCGAGGGCCGGGAGTTGGAACCAGACGAATTCGGACTGGAAACAAGATGGAAAACGTCTAACAGTGAGCGGGGCTGGTGAGTGAGAGCAGTGGGGGCTGGGAGCCCGGACTCCTGGGATCTCTCCCCGGCTCTGGGAGGGGAGTGGGGGCTGGTGGGTCGGGCTCTCTCTCTAACACGCTCTCTGGCCTGTCAGCCCCTGGGATGGGGGGGAACAGGTGCAGCGAGGGGGGGAGTGAAAGTGACCTGATGCCGGTGGATGGGGGGGTCGGGAGATCCAGTGTCCGTCCCACCCCGGAAACCGGAATCAACCTCAAAATAACTTGCCCCTATTTAATCAGCGGTGGCCGGGAGGGGGATTCGGCCACGATGCAGGGCCTGGGGCTGCTGCTCTGCGCCCTGCTGTGCGGGGGGGTCAGTGGTAAGTTGGGGGGCAGAAACCTGAGCCCTCTGGGGGCCCTGACATCTGGGGGGGGGCGATGGAGCCAGGCCCTGGGTCCCCGACAGGGGGGCAGGCTGGGGGATAATCGGGAGGGGTTAAACCAGGACTGGGGCAGGGTGCGGGACACAAAGGTGGTGGGAGGGCAGGGCTGGGGGCAGCTGCTCCCCACACCCTGGGTCTGACCCCTGCCTGCCCCACAAGGGGCCCCGGGTGGGAACGAGGAGCTGCGGCTCTACGAGAAACTCTTCGCCAACTACGACAAGAACACGCGGCCGGTGCTCCGCCCCGACGACACGGTGCCCGTGCAGATAATGCTCACGCTGACCAACCTCATCTCGTTGGTGAGACGCCCCCACGTCCGGCCACCGCCCCCCGCTCCCGCGCCGCCGCC